AGCTTTCACACATGCTCTATTAAATTCAAAACTTTTTTGACTATTTCATGCTTATAATTTCCTTTTCTGACAAATAGTTATTGAGATTTTGAAGTACTGTGCTTGGATTGAAAGCATCGTCTTTTCTTCACTTCTATTTTAATTAGGTATTGTGCATTGATTCCTACAGGAAAGGCATCTGTGTCATAATAAATACTTTGGGTAAGAAATCTGCTATTCAACTTTCTAATTCTTTCTTATAGAATTAAACTGTCCAATTGAACTTACATCCATCAAGCTTTTATAGATATTTAATGTGATATAATAAACAGAAATATACTCAATTTTCAAAAGTTCATATCCTAGTAGGGGAGACAGACAATTATAGATTGTCAGGTAGTATTTTATTACTTTTTTAATATACATTCATATAAGAGAAGATTGAACTTCAACTGTAGAATTGAAGGGGCATTTGAAGAATCTGAAAATGTTTTATCAGATCAAGAGAATGAAGGCATTTTAAACTGAGGGACCAGATTGAGCAGAGGGACAGAAATGGTCATCAGGAGCCATGTAGCAAGCAGAATAAAACACAGGGAAGGTGAGGCTGAGAGGATATCTTGGCACTGGACAGCAAAGGGCCTCGAGCACCTGGGAAATAATTTTATCCCATTGGCATTGAGGTAGCCTGAGGAGCGGCATAATCAGAGTTGTTCTTTAGGAAAGATAAAGTGATGGTGAGGGGACTCCAGAGGGGAGCGGAGAAAGTGAAGACATTTCTGGTTATTCTTTTTTGTACCTCACTCAGGTAGACTTTGGGTTAAAGCATAGAAGAATTGATATGTTTAGAACCAGATACATGTTCTTTCTTGGAGCTTCAACTGCTACTGTAAAAATAAGTCACAAATACTGATTTACTTTAATAAATGACTACCCAATCCTAGCCAAATTTACCCAACCTTCTTCTAACTTCTCTTTTCTCTCCATTCAGTAGAACTAAGGTCTTCATGAGGGAAACACCTAAATCACTTATGTCCATTCTGTGGCTTCATGAAACCTAAGTATTTCCCTCCCCTCTACACTTGCTCCCAACCATTGAGTGAAGACATAGATTCAGAAGCACAAAATGATTTTTTTTTTTTTTAC